TGCCGCGGTACGGCGCGACCGTGAGAAACCGCGACACCGCACTGCGGCCCCCGGGCACCCTCCAGCCCGCCGGCACCCACCCCCGCCCCGGCCTCTTCCCGGTCGTATCGTGCTTGAGAGCGGAATTAGCCGTTAAATATTCAATACGGACGAGCCACTCTCCTTCATCTCTCCTCTGCTCAGCCGCCCCGTGCAGAGGCTTGGCGTGAGTGGAGCTGGTGTGGAGCTCCCACTGAGGACATTCAAACCCTCCCCAAGTTGTCCCGCTTCGTTCATCCTCAGCTCATGGATGCACAAAGGGCTGAGGTGAACAATTCAGGAAAATACCTGTTAATTGTGCTTCTGTCTCACTGCCCTGAGTGCCTGGCTGTTTCCTAGGCCTCAGCCGCTGTGCCACAATCTCACACCCCATGCCCAGCCAGCATCGCTCCATGTCCATCAGCTGTGGGTGATGCACAGCACAGGATGAGGTTCAGCATCCTGGACAGCCAGGGATGAACAGCCATGGGAGCAGCCATGGGACTCAGGGGAGCAGGGCTTGTGGTGGATGAGACCCTTTAGAGGAGGTAAATTGGTTTCACCTCCATTTAAATGCTTGGAAAATGGAAGAGTAAAGGATTGCACAGGACACTATGGTGGGGAGCAGGGCACAGTGCTCTGAGGGCTGGACCCACAAATTGTTCCCAGTCTCAAATCTCATTCAGCTCATCATGAGGGAGTTCTGCAGGTCTGTTCCCCCAGGGAGGTGACAGGTGCCCCTGAGCCACAGTGACTCCCTGCTAACCACAGTGCATAGGGACCCAGGAATCTCTTCCCTTTCCCCTCGAGGTGAATTGGAGCACCACAATATTTGACTGCTGCCCTTACAACACCCTCCCTGCCTCCTGAGGGAGGACAGCAATGATGCAGAGCTTCACACTAGGAGAATGGGATTTGGGCTATCTCTACAATCACTAAACGCCCAGACTGGGATGCTGGATGGATTGTGTTGGGGTTCCTCACACAGGATGGGGCTGCAGGACCTCCTCTTTTCATGGATTAGGGGCTAAAAACCCCAAGGCTGTGCATGCACAAGCAAAGCTAGGCAGACAACACCCCCACATCCACATCCACAGCCTGGTGAGGACCCCTGCTCTAGTGCTCCAGGTCAAAATCCAGTCCTCTTAGCTTGTCCCTTCCAGAAAAGTCGAGAATTGGGGGAAAAAAAAGTAATGCAGATACAGTGGCATTTAAGCTGTGGCCTTTTTCCATATGCACAAAAGAGGAAGGACCTTGCTGTGGGTGCATCTCTTCCCAGGCAAGTTGAAAGGACACGGCAGGGACTCATGCCTTTTTAATGAAGGGATTTGCAGGTAGGACCCCCTTCCCCATCTGCTCTTCCATGCCCACTGGGAAGGCTGTCTTTGATAGCAGGACCTAATTGCTGCAAACCTCCTGGCATGAGCTGTTTGGGGACTTTGAGGAAGCCTTTCTAAGTAATTGTGGAAAAGGGCTATGCATGGGAGGATTAAACAACCTCTTGGTTGTATTTTCAGCAGGTTCTTCCCAAGATCCCATCAGTGACGTCCTTCCACACAGTTTCAGAGCTCCTGGGTGACCTGCTGGGTCACAGCTACCCCCAAGGCTGGTCTGCCAGGGACCCCTACCTGAAGCCAGCTCATACATGCCCTGATGGATAATGCTAACACATCCAGATAACACCAGGGATTCTTTTTTTTTTTTCAGTTTTGGTATAGCTCTAAACCAAACAACTTACAATTTTTTGTTCACCCATTAGGTCAGACTCATAGTGCCATAGAAAGCCAAAAGGACAGGCTGGCAAGGCAGCTTTTCAAGAAAACATATTTATGGGCATTATTTCTAAGTTTAATCTCTAAATTGTGATTTCATTGCTGCTCTGTTTTGCTTGACAGGTGAAGCATTCTGGGCTGGCATGCCTGTGCCTGGATTTCCCATCACTGTGTAACAGCCAGGACTTACCTGACTGCTCAGGCTTCTCATTCCAGGTATTCTGGAAATGCTTCCTGACCATCTGGACCCTCCTCAGCCACTGCTACTGCAGACCATACTTAGCACTCTTCTTTTTGTACCCAAATATTTTATTGTTTGCTTTCTATCTTCCCCCATGCCACAGCAAAATAATATTTAAATGGCAGAGAAGGGAAATTTGGTCCCTCCTAGAAAATCAGTGTGTGAGGAGGGGTGAAAATGATCTCATTTCTAAGCTCAGCTGCTCACCCAAGGGCTGCTCAGCAGTCCCCAGCCTTTCCCAAACAGCCTCTGCGTGCCAGGGCACGCGG